AAAAACGAAGAAAATTTTACAACCCAAAAAATATGCTTTGCATTCATGCACCTCAAAGGTATGCTATAGTTTTTCGTTCTTGTTTTGTTAGTAATGGTATGGCAATTACTTCTCAGATTTCAAGCTTGTTTTACCGGCCAAGTGTTAGCATGGCTTGAGAATTTATATGCACACACACATACATATTTTTTTTTTGTCGAACAACTTCAATTTTGATAGCATATTTTTAGACGTTGTTTAATTTCATACTTCAATGCATAGCATGTGACTGACTGCCAGCCTGACTGCCTGGCTTTCAAGGAAGCCTGGTGTAAGATAAAATAAAAATCATGCCCCCTCCTTTTCGTTCATAACGTTATAAGGAAAAAAGAGATATACGTTGCTGTTGTTGTTGCTTGTTGTAATGGAAAAACTACTTACGTATGACTTTTTCTGTTCTTAGATGGCAACATAATCATAACTTACACATCATCTTTAGTCGCCCATGAGTTCGTTTAGTTTCCTCACATTTTTTTTCTGCTCTCTCAAGAGCCGGCTATGTTTCCTTAATGAACTTTATATCTATTTTTGGTTCCACTTCTTCGTTTTCTTTTCATTTTCATATTTCATTTCAAAAGTTCAGTTGTGTATGTGTGTGTGTGTTTTTTTTGCGCTGCACATCTGCTTTCATTGAAAATGAAGAAAATTCAGTTGGCATTTTGCCCAAGTAAGCAGAAAAACTCTGAGATATGTCTACATGTGAAGAAATACGGGTTCTTGTGGCGTTCTGTTTTTTTTTTCTTCAGCCTCTGTGGCGTGATGATTTTTTTTCTGGTCCGGACTTCTACTTTCTTGTCTTCTGCTCGCAAAAGCCAATCATATTAATTCTTCCAACTAAGTTAGTGCAAAGATGGCGTAGGTATTTTTCCGCTTGCATGGCCTCTCGGCTACGTGTGTGGGTTTTGCAATGACCACTTGTGAATGACTTCAGCAGGATGGCTTTTGTTGTTGTTGCTGCTGCTGCTGTAGCATAATATAATTTACGTTATGTCTAGGTAAGCCTGCAATTTTTCCCCTGTAATCATATTTAATTTAATATGTCTTAGGAAGAGCAAAATTTATCAAAGTTCCTAAAAGTATGCTTTAGATTATTTATGAAAGGCCATATATTTTTTTTGTGGGCGAAAAAGAAAAAGTTCTGTGTGTGGCAAATTAAATTTAATTAAAAAATGTGAAAAAGAATGGCTATCAAATGAAAAAATAAAAAAAATTAACAAAAATGGAATATGTTTCAGAAATGTAGATAAAAAAGGGAGAGAGAGAGAGAGAGAGGAAGGGAGAGAAAATGTAAGAGAACTAATAACGTGAATATGTTATTCTTGAAATTGATAATTAATTTCTTTTTTAATTTTTTTTGCAATATTTTTCAAACTTCATCATTGCTATTGTTTGGAAGAAATGGAAGAATAACCATTGAGGAATTAATTTCAATTTTTGATAAAAGATAAAATGTACTGTTATTCCCGAAAAAGGAATTTTTTCGGGGGCTATAATCTCGCATTTTTGATGAATATTTTTTTTAATACACATAATGGTTATTTAAGGAAATTTTCTAAGTTTTCCTCTGGGACCCATAATCATGAATTTTTCATGAACATTTTTAGGAACCCATGATTTTGATTTTCAAAGAGTATTTCCCAGATACCCATTTTAAAAATATTCTTCATGAATTTTTAAATCATATTTTCCTTATTTAAGGAAATTTTCTAAGTTTTCTCAGGGACCCATAATCATGGATTTTTTTAAGAAAATTTTAAGGAACCCATGATTTTGATTTTCCAAGAATATTTCTCAGACAGCCATTTTTTAAAAAAAATCTTCATGAATTTTTAAATCATATTTGACGTGAACCGATGGCCGTGTAGTTTAAAAGAATATTTTTCATAGACCCGTAATCGCGGATTTTTGAAGAATATTGGAAGATTTTTACAAATTATTTGTGGAGGACCAATAATGTGGAGGACCCATATTCATAGTATTTTTTAATGTTTTTTAGGGACTATTTAAGAATATTTTTCAGGGACCCAGACCAATAATTATCCTCGTCAGTTTTTCAAGAATTATTCTCAAGGACCCATCATCGTGGAGTTTTGAAAAATAATTAAAGAATTTTTTCAAGGACCTATAATAGTGGATTTTTAAAGATTTTTTCTCAGTGACCAATAATCGTGGATTTTTAAAGCACTTTTCTCAGGGACCTATAATCGTGGATATTTAAAGAATTTTTTCAAGGACCTATAATAGTGGATTTTTAAAGAATTTTTTCGGGGGCCAATGATCGTGGATTTTTAAAGAATTTTTCTCAGGGACCTATAATCGTGGATTTTTAAAGAATTTTTTCAGGGCTACATAATCATGAATTTTTTAAGAATTATTCTCAGGGACCAATAATCGTGGATTTTTAACGAATTTTTCTCAGGGACCTATAATCGTGGATTTTTTAAGAATTTTTTTCAGGGACCTATAATCGTGGATTTTTAAAGAATTTTTTCAGGGACCTATAATCGTGGATTCTTAAAGAATTTTTCTCAGGGACCTATAATCGTGGATTTGTAAAGAATTTTTCTCAGGGACCTATAATCGTGGATTTTTAAAGAATTTTTCTCAGGGACCTATAATAGTTGATTTTTAAAGAATTTTTCTCAGGGACCTATAATCGTGGATATTTAAAGAATTTCTCTCAGGGATCTATAATCGTGGATTTTTAAAGAATTTTTCTCAGGGACGCATAATCGTGGATGTTTAAAATAATTTTTCTCAGGGACCAATAATTGTGGATTTTTTAAGAATTTTTTCAGGGACCTATAATCGTGGATTTTTTAAGAATATTTTTCAAAGGACCTATAATGGTGGATTTTTAAAGAATGTTTTCAGGGATCTATAATCGTGGATTTTTAAAGAATTTTTCTCAGGGACCTATAATTGTGGATTTTTTAAGAATTTTTTCAGGGACCTATAATCGTGGATTTTTAAAGATTTTTTTCAGGGACCTATAATCGTGGATTTTTTAAGAATTTTTCTCAGGGACCTATAATTGTGGATTTTTTAAGAATTTTTTCAGGGACCTATAATCGTGGATTTTTAAAGATTTTTTTCAGGGACCTATAATCGTGGATTTTTTAAGAATTTTTTTCAGGGACCTATAATCATAGATTTTTTAAAAAAAATTTCTCGATACCCATAATTTTGGATTTATTTTTCACAGACTAGTAATCGTGGAGTTTTAAAAATTTTCTCTCCATACCCATAGTCTTGGATTTATTTTTCACAGACCAGTAATCGTGGACATTTTTTCAGGGACCTATAATTGTGGATTTTTAAAGATTTTTTTCTTAGGGACCCATAGTCTTGGATTTTTTTCACAGAACAATAATCATAGATTTTTAAGAAATATTCTCAAGGACCCATAGTCTTTAATTTATTTTTCATTGACCAATAATCATTGATTTTTAAGAAATATTCTCAGGGACCCATAATCGTGGATTTTTAAAGAATTTTTGATCATGGATTTATTTTTCACAGAACAATAACAATGCATTTTTTCAAGAATTATTCTCAGGGATCATCCATAATCACGGATTTTTAAAGAATTTTTTTCCATTGTCTTGGATTTATTTTTCACAGACTAATAACCATGAATTTTTCACGAATTACTTTTAGGGACACATAATCGTGATTTTTTAAATAATTTTACTTAGAGACCCATAATTTTTTTATTATTTTAAATATTATTCTCAGCGACCAATAATGGTGAAATTTTTAAGAAAAGGTCTATGTGCACCTGGATTATTATTTATTTATTTATTTTTTTTTTTTTCAGAACAAGGACCGTGGATTTTTCAAGAATTATTCTCAGGGTCTCCAAAATCGTGGACTTTTAAAGAATTTATCAAAGAGATTTGGATTTTTAAATTAACATCCGATTCCATTCGGACTTGGTATATCTCAATATATTCAACAACGCAAGATCTATTATATATATGGTATAGATCGGGCCATTACTTCTGACACCTCCCATACATAGGGTTCAAGACTTTGAGTAACAAAACGCTCAAAGAAAGCATATTACGCTCTCTTCAAGTTTCATACACATAAACATTTTTGCTAACACAAAATCTGTTGTGAAGTTGATATATATCTGCGAACCCTTTCTGGCACCTCACTCACAAAGGGTTACAAGCAAAGGGTCAGCGATTCTCAGCAACTTGCTACATCGAAGTATTTCTCTCAACTAGAAACCTGAGATGAATATGGAAATTGTGATTTCGCATAGAATTGGATATAAAAATTTCGATTGTTTTGTAATTTTGCCCACACCAATATTTTTATCTCAATTAGATGAAGTGTGAAAATGAAATACCTCACGCGCCTTTTAACATTTTGTAGAAATTATCACATATGTCATATAAAGTGAAGGAAGTGGTCGATATAGTCCAAACCTGGCACGTCGCAACATTTATATCTTATTTATTTAGGTCCGATACGAAATGGTCAATATTGGTCCATTCCTTCGAAACCTACTCTATAGAGGGTCAACAATTTGAATAATCAGAACAGAAGTCGAAATATATTTAAATAATCGAACATTGGGTGAGGGTATGTATGTGTCGGCAAATCCGACTTGCTTTTGCACATATGATTAGGCCCCCATGACGAAAGAAGTATCTCTGAATCTGATATGCTATTTCCCTTAATGAAACCCCCCCCCCCCCCCTTTCATTCATTCATTCATTTATTTACAAACTCGTTGCGTGCAAAGTAATTATTTGTAGTAAATTTTCGCCAAACAGTAAACGGTGGAATTTTGATTGCAGATAGGGAAATTAAGCGCGACAGCCTTGATATATGCCACGACAAAGCACAATGGAGTCTTCTAGCCAAAAATTGCTTGTCTTGCTGAGCAATTAATTTAGGCGCTAAATTAATGTCAAACAACAAGGCGCAAAAAATGCAAAGCATACCATACGGCGCAACAGCGAGCATTGTTTGCGTTCTTATCAATGTTTCGGTGTCGGTGTTGTTTTGTTGCAGCCATAACAAAGACATTGTTGGCTGTTGTTGTTGTTTGGTGGTTGTTGTCTCCATTGGCGGGCCGTGAACATTAAATGAAAGTGTCGCCGTGATAAATTGTCATCATTTTGAACAATGCAAAACATAAGTTTTATTTAACATCAACCAAAATGGGTTTTGTAACATGTCATGTTAAGACTGTGAAGGAAACAAATGGTGGTAGGGGGTGTAATGAATTTTTAGGGGGTATTCTCGTTCAGGGAAAGGAGTTTCAGAGTTAATGAATGTTTATTTTAAAGGACATCCTTCGAAACTCTTTCTAAAAGTATTTCAACATAAACCAGTAAAGAAAGTCGGGCGAGGCCGACTATATGATACCCTACACCACTTTGCTAATTTAGTAGAGTTCCGCATAAAAATTAAAAGTTTTTATGGGAGAATTCAATCATACACGCTATGATTATAATTATAATTTAAAGTTCAAAGGCCTAAATATGCCGAAGCATTTGTATCTGTTAAATTCGGACTTGCATTGCCCATTTGATGCACAATTAATTTGAAATCGGATAAAGATATATATGGGAGCTATATCCAAATCTGAACCGATCTCGATACAATTTGGCAAAGATATTTCTGAACTGTATTTGATATATTTCCCTGAATATCTTTGTTACGGAGTGCATATTACGGCTGTGGGTAACAAATATTTCAAATCGGATGAACAGTATATATGGGAGCTATAGCTATATCTCAACCGATCTTCACCAAATTTGACATACTAGCTTCTAGACTAAATTCGGTTGTAAGTGCCAAATTTCATCCCATTTGGGCAAATATTAGAGGTTTGGTGCACAATCAAAGGTAAATCGGACGAAGTTATATATGGGAGCTATATCCAAATCTGAACCGATCTCAATAAAATTTAGGAAATGTATTTCTGAGATGTATTTGATATATTTCCCCAAATATTGTTGTTACAGAGTGCATATTACGGCTGCGGAGGACAAAAATAACAAATCGGATGAACAATATATATGGAAGCTATAGCTATATCTGAACCGATTTCGATCAAATTTGGCATACATATTTTCAGGCCTAATTTGGGTGTATATGCAAAATTCCACACAATTCGGGCTGATATTACACGTTTGGTGCACAATAAAAGGCAAATCGGACGAAGATATATATGGGAGCTATATCTAAATTTTGACCGATTATCTCCAATTTCAATAGGGTTCGTCCTTATGCCAAACAAAAGATCTTTGCAAAATTTTATCTGGATCGGGCAATAAATGCGACCTGTACTTTGTTTACAAAAATACATGGACAGACGGACGGACAGACGGACGGACGGACATGCATAAATCAACTCAGAAAGTGATTCTATGCTGATCATCAAAAGGAACTATGGGTCTATCTCGTTTCCTTCTGCCTGTTACAAACAAATGCACAATGACATAATACCCTGACCAACTTGTGGTGTAGGGTATAAAATAAACTCATAAAAGATATAAAATTTCTGTGTACAGAATATGTCCTCAAGGATCCTTAGGGCTATCAGAGTAGTATTTTGAAGGAATATTTTAAAAAAAGTATTATTCTTCGTAAAAAAAAATCTATATTAATGGAAGTATAAAGTAATTGACTGACTGGCTGACTTAAAAATTCATCAACGTCCAGACGAAACGGCAGAAGCTAGAATCTTGAAATTTCGGGTGGACGTCACTCTTGGTCCGAAGAGGTCAGATAAGGCTGGTTTTTGGAAACTTGTACTGGAACGGTACGAAAAGTAATAACAGGTACTTAAATGGTACCTTTTGTATTTGAGGAAGCAGTAGTGCTAGAACTCTTAAATTTGGAACGAGGGTCACTGATGAAGTTTATGATAGATGTACATAAGGGGTTTTGGAACTTCTTACCATAAGTGTACGAAACCTACTAAAATGTATTACATTTGGATACATTTTGGCATCATGTGAACGGTTAGAGCTAAAAACTGCAACTGAAAAGAAGTGTATTCTCATGTGTACGGCAATTTCAGAATTCCAGCTCTATACATTCTCTCAACACCAAATTTAGTAACATTTAGTACTGTTCGTATAATTTTAGTACTCATATGAGAAAACGTTCTAAAGCGTTAAAAACTTTACGGTATCAGCTCCATTCATTCACAAAACACCAAATTCAGTTCAATTTAGTACTTTTCGAACAGTTATAGGTCTCATTTTAAAAACAACCTCTATGTGCCAACCGCAGATACCAAAAGTGACCTCCATAACAAATTTCCGGCATTTATAATTAACATCGCTATTAAATTTAGTACAAAATAGTACACATATCCAAAACCAGCCAATTGCTCCATACACCAACAGAGAACTCAAAATAATATTTAGGAATTCCAGATCTATCTCTTCATCCAGTACCAAATTTAGTAGCATTTAGTACTTTTCATACAAATATATGACGCATTCCTCACCGCCACCGCCAAATCTCAAACAAAGATACCATCAGTAATCTAAATATTCAATTCCATGTTTTCAACTGTATTCTTTCACCCAATACCAAATATCGTACTATTCAGTACTTTTCGTACAATTTTAGTACACATTGAGATAATATTGGATCATCTCAAATATCAATTCCAGTTACCATCAAAGACGTCAACATCAAATTTGAGGCAATTCTGCACTTTATTATACCCTCCACCATAGTAACACTTCGAAATATACATTTAAGACCCATGTCGATGTACCAATGTCCGTTCGTCTGTCCGTCTGTGGAAATCACTCTAGCTTCCGAACGAAATGAAGTAGGTTGATAAAATTTTACTCAAACGTGTATTATGTCTGTAAGATTTTTGGTATTGAAAATGGGCTATGTAGGTCCACGTCTTCGTATAGCCCCCATATAACGGTACCTCCCGATATTCTGTACTTTGATGATTTCAACGACATTATTCAACGGAATTGTTTCAAATTTGGTATTTAAAGTTCGTAATGGATACTACAGCCTATGATATAAAAATTGTCTTAGCAGGCCAAGATTTTGGCATAGCCTCCATATAAAGGTACCTCCGTATAATCGGTATTTTGACGATTTTAGCGACATAATTCACCGGAATTGTTTCAAATTTGGTATTTAAAGTTCGTAATGGATACTACAGCTTATGACACCTCCCGATATTCGGTATTTTGATGATTTTAGTTACATTGTTCACCGATTTTTTTTTTAAGTTTGGCATTTGTGTATTGTAATGGCTTAGAACAAAAGTTGCCTATGCAGGTCCACGTCATCGTATACATACGGCTTCATTCGGTATTTTTAAGATTTTAACAGAATTTTTAACGGATTTATTTATTTTTTTAAATTGCCAAATTCGTTCCAAACGGCGGAGGGCATTCAAAGTTGGACATTTTGTTTTGATTCTTTGACAAAGTTTTGTTTTTATTCTTTAAAACATATTTTTGAAAAATCCAGTTTTTTTTACTTTAAATAAAAATATGTTTGAAAAATCCAGTTTTTTTATTTTTTGAAAAATATATTTTTGAAAAACCTACTTTTTTTATTTTTTTGGAAAAAATATTTTTGAAAAATCCAAGTTCCTTTTACATTTTGAAAAAAATATTTCTCACGTTTTTTTGTTTTTTTTTTTTTTTTTTGAAAAAATATTTTTTTTTAACTCCAGGTTTTCTTTTTGATTTATTAAAAAAAATATGTTTTAAAAATCCACGTTTTTTATTTTTTGAAAAGATATTTTTTAAAAATCCACGCTTTTATTTTTTGAGAAGATATTTTTTAAAAATCCACGTTTTTTAATTCATTGAAAAAAGATTTTTTAAAAAATTAAAATTGTTTTTATTCTTTAAAAATAATTTAAAAATATCAAAAAAACGTGGATTTTTAAAACATATTTTTTTAAAAAAATATTTGTTTAAAATCCACGCTTTTTTATGTATTGAAAAAATTATGTTTTAAAAATTAACTTTTTTATTTCCTTTTTGATTTATTGAAAAAATATGTTTGAAAAATCAATTTTTTATTTTTATTTTCTTTTTGATTTATTGAAAAATATGTTTTAAAAATCCACGTTTTTTCTTGATTTTTGAAAATATATTTTTTAAAAATCCACGTTTTTTCTTGATTTTTGAAAAGATATTTTTTAAAAATCCACGTCTTATCGATTCTTTGAAAGATTTGTTAAAAAATTAAAATTGTTGTTATTCCTTAAAAAATAATTAAAAAACCTTGATTTTTAAAAGATATTTTTTGAAAAAATATTTGTTAAAAATCCACGTTTTTTTGATTTATTGAAAAATATGTTTTAAAAATCAACTTATTTTTTGTTTTTTTTTTCTTGATTTATTGAAAAAAATGTTTTAAAAATCAACTTTTTTATTTTTATTTTCTATTTGATTTATTGAAAAAAATTTGTTTTAAAAATCCAATTTTTTTTTTGATTTTTTGAAAAAATATTTTTTAAAAATCTACGTTTTTTGATTCTTTGAAAGATTTTTTAAAAAATTAAAATTCTTTTTATTCTTTAAAAAATAATTTAAAAAAAAACTGTATTTTTTTTAAACATATTTTTTGAAAAGATATTTTTTAAAAATCCACTTTTTTTTTTGATTCTTTGAATGAAGATTTTTTAAAAAAATTAAAATTGTTTTTACTCTTTAAAAAAATTAATTTAATAAAATCAAAACAATGTGGATTTTTTAAACATATTTTTTGAAAAAATAATTGTTAAAAATCCAGGTTTTTTTTGGTTAATTAAAAAATATGTTTTCATATGTTTTTCACTTTTTTTTTCTTTTGATTTTTTGAAAAAAAAAATATTTCTTTTTAATCCACTTTTTTTTTGATGTAGATCTACGAAATAATATTTTTTAACCCTAGCTCTGATGGTCTTTGAGAAAGTATTCCATAAAATGTTGTTTATATTCTCATTTTATAGGCCTCTGCAAATAATGCACATTTTTTTAAATTCACTTTTTGTAAGTCCTCGAAAAATATTCACAAAAAATGATGTCTCGTGGATGCTTCGAAAATATTTTCAAAATATCCACGATATGTTG